TGTATGAAGGAAGCGCATTCTGCTAACACAATAGCAAGCTGACAAACGCGCATTCTGCTAACACAATAGCAAGCTGACAAACGCGCATTCTGCTAACACAATAGCAAGCTGACAAACAACTACGTGTTTTTATTTTGTGAAACATACCACATGTTTGGACAGAAAAAAAAAAAGACCAATGATCTGTCGAAACTTCTAGTATGTTCCCCCTAAATAAAACCCCTTCGTTGTTTGTCAATTTACTATTATTTTAAAGGTCGTAGCTAGATAAACGTGCTGTTAAAGCTCCCGTATTTTAAAGGAGCTTGAAAACTTTTACAAACACACTTGCGATTGAGGTGCCGTCTACCGTGATTTTCTAAGCAATTACTATCTTCATTCGTGTTTATAAAGTTCTTGTGGTACCTGGTTATATAAGACACGTAAAGTAAGTACCTTTTTTGGTGTTTTTATTCGTTTGAGCAAAGCCACATTGGACTATCTGCTGTGTCCACCGTGGGGAATCGTTGTAAGTCCGTAAAGTTACCACTCCCCCCCCCCACCCCCCGGGTGATATCTAAGTATCTAGCTGTAAACTTTTTAAAATTTCTCCCCTTTTTGAAAAAAACAAAACGTTAATTTTTTAAACACTTATAACAAAGTAGTAATTTCACGTATCCCGCAGAAATCTTTTAAAGTCACTAAGTAATCTCGGAGCTGAAATTTTTCTGTGGAGCATAAAATAATTCTGTCTGTGATTTTAACGTGAGCTCTTAAACTTATTAGAGATAAACATATTTGATTTGATTTACAGAGCATAAGTAATAAGATTTCGTAAGTATGTGACGAAATAGAAATAATACACGTAAAAGCCCTTTTCTTTTTCGTCTCAAATCGTGAGATAAAACGGGTAGCTTGTTGCATAGCTACCGATAGAGAAATCCTACAGTAACAAAGATCTCTATTTTTTTTAAGATTCATATATATATATATATATATTATTAGTAAGCGTTGATGGCTATTTTGACATTGTATACTAATAAGATTTGACTAAATTGGATTTTTTGTTCTTATATATTTTTGCAAATTAACGGAAATTTTTGCTGAACGATGTCAATCAGGCGGAGGAAAAAATAAAGTCACAGATGACCTAATGGTACTAAAACAAAAACTGCTTAATTGCATTAAAACAGGAAAAAAAACGTTTATCTAATAGTCCAAAAACGTTTAGACGTATTTATTTAAAGAATCAATAAGAACCTATAGATTACTGAAATTACCTCAGAGGTCGCCGAGTTCAAACACTCTTCAGAGCTGTGTAAGAAAAAAGTCTCCGCGTGGGAAATATAGTTCACAAAAATGGTTGCTTAGATACGGTCAGCTTTTTAAACTTAATGGAACAACAAGATCACGAGAAAAACAAACAACTTTCTTTGTAAACTCAATGGAAGTCTGTGCTACACGAGATTGGAGTAGCACCCAATCACTTTATTAAACCGAATGTCCTGTTGTAGGCACAGGGTGTTGATATGGTTAATAATAACAGGAGACCACTGTGAACCACTAGTACTCAGTGTTCTGTATATATAAAACTAGCTACCCTTTCCCCCACTGGTTCAGCGGTAAACTCGAGGTATTATTCGCTACAAACCGAATTTCTATACCTGCAAGGGACAGGTTCCCAGTGACTTAGCCATAAGTCTGCAGGCTTACGACTCTAATAACATTCGGGTTTCGATACCCGTGGTCAGCAGAGAAGAAATGGCCCATTGTGTAGCTTTGCGCTTAAACACAAACAAACACTATCTCCTAGTGGCGACTAACCTAACTAACAATTTCTTCTTTAAAGTGCGAATACTTTCCTGTTTAATTTCATGTAGTTTATACAGAGTAAGTTCGCCATCTACCGGCGTAAATAAACGTACTGTCAAAATGTGACTACATTCAAGTAGTGAGGTGGTGGAGGACGTTCTATGATGAAGAAAATTACTGGCTCATGTGAAGATGGTGTTATTGATGGTATCTTATCATCCCAATGGGTCAGATTTTTTTTCTAAAATAATTAAATATTTAATGAGTAAAACGTTTGTAGTAAATAATTCATCAAGTTTATTTTATTGACAAGTAAAAAAAAAAACGACAACAAAACAACGAGAACGTGACGAGTGAGTTTAATTAAAATACAAAAATGGATAAGCCTTTAACCACTATTGTCAAATTTGTGGTCTGGATTGGTTTTAACTAAAATATTTTGAGCATGCAAGAGATAAGTATATCGATACCAAAGTCTTAGGATGAGAAGCGAAGTTCGTTCATGAGAGAAAATATCAGAATAAACGAGGTATGTTTTTATAAGCAGCCAAAGATCTCATGCATCGAAAAACAAAAAAAAGGATATATCCAAAAGTGATCTTACGAAACAATTTGGATAAACGACAACATGCAAGACTTGTGAGTTGAGATTAAGATAAAGTCAGAGTGGCTCCTCTTACGTACGAGGAATGTATGGAACGTTTTTATCAAGTTACACATATATATACAAAATCAAAAAATACAAAAACACTAATTACTTCTATTACATAATAAGTATATTTAGCTTACAATACACAGTGCGTATTTATATTACAGACTATTAGGTGCAAATATTATAGGTAAACATTTCAATAAAAGACTCCTGAAATTTAAAGCGAAATACTTCTAAATGATAATCCAATCTTTACGAGTAAAAGTACCAAATACTTGAGGTTAACATTTTTTATTTAAAAAAAAAAGTATTGCCTTCTTATTTTACGCATAACTTACATAAACATACAAAGTTATACTTCCTTATTGAGAGTCATAAACATACAACGTTTGGGATTAACCCTAACGTGAACCACGCTGGTACGTACAAGTGTATTAAAACAAATGAGAAAGACATTTATAAATAGAAAAAAAGTGACCACAGGTGGCACTGCAAAGTGACTGGGAACACTGTAAGTTGTATTATGTTAAATGTGATATTTCCCAAGTGTTAACATTGGGTAACTGTAACGTCTTATGGGTGAAAAAAAAAAGAGCTCTAATAACAAGCTCACACTTTTAACGTGTTTCTTCATAAATGTATTCTGCACACGTTCTTATACATCTATACAACTGGAAAACTGAAGATTGTGAGGATTTTCTTTACCGCTACTTATACGGTTTTACCACCTCCCGTATATATATACACTGAGTGGTCACAAGTAAATAGACACCTAATTTTTCGTCATTTAACTGATTTATGCTACCTAATTTGT